TTGCTGTCTAATGCAAATTGTTTTGCACAGTTCTGGGCTAAAGCTGTGATGTCAGTAGCTTATTTGATAAATAGATGTCCATCTACTGCTATTGGCATGAAGACACCAGAGGAAATGTGGTATGGTCATTCTCCAAACCTTGAAAACTTGAGAGTATTTGGGTGTGTGGCTTATGCTCATATCAACCAAGGCAAGTTGGATCCAAGTGCTCTGAAATGCATGTTTCTGGGATACCCTCAAGGTGTTAAAGGGTTCAGATTGTGGTGCATGGAGAAGGGGCAACCAAGAGTATTAATTAGCAGAGATGTTGTGTTTAGAGAATCTGAAATGTATCACTTTGAGAAGGTTTCAAGTCAGGAACAACAAAAGAGTGATGAGAAAATTCAGCTGAAGATGAATACATTAAAGGGGCAACCTTCTCTTGACTTTCAGCAATGCTATTCAGAATTTAATCAAGAAAGGAACACAGAAGCTGAGACAGACACTGAAGTGCAGAATGAAGATGATCTACAAGAGTATCAACTAGCCAAGGATAGAGAAAGAAGAGAAATCAGACTTTCAGTTAGGTTTTGGACATGCAGATATGGTTGCTTTTGCACTCACCGCAGCAGAGGAAGTTGAAGGAGATGATCCTAGGAGTTATAGTGATGCTGTGAATGGCAAGCAATCTCAAGAGTGGATTGCTGCCATAAATGAAGAATTAAGCTCTTACATAAGAATGACACTTGGGTGCTGGTAGACAAGCCAAAAGGGAAGAAACTTGCCAGTTGCAAGTGGATTTTCAAGCTGAAGGAAGGGATTCCAGGAGTGGAGAAGGCTAGATTCAAAGCAAGATTAGTGGTCAAAGGGTTTACACAAAGAGAAGCCATTGATTACAATGAAGTCTTCTCTCCGATGGTAAAACACTCTTCAATCAGAATTGTCCTAGCCTTGGTAGCACAAGAAGACATGGAATTGGAGCAGCTTGATGTGAGAACAACTTTCTTACATGGAGACCTTGAGGAGCAAATTCACATGATTCAACTAGAAGGTTTCATCAAGAAAGGTGAAGAAGATAAGGTTTGCTTGTTGAAAAGGTCCCTCTATGGTCTTAAGCAATTTCCTCGGCAATGGTACAAAAGATTTGATGCATTCATTATGAAGAATGGTTTTAAAAGGTGTGAGTATGATGGTTGTGTCTACTTGAAGAACACTGAGATTGGAGCTATCATCTACCTTTTCCTCTATGTAGATGACATGCTCATTGCTTGTAACAACAAGGTTGAAATTGAGAAGGTGAAGCTGATGCTTGAGAGTGAGTTCGAAATGAAGAATATGGGGGTTGCTAGTAAGATTCTGGGTATGCAAATTACGAGGGATAGATCCAAGGGAACCTTATTCATTAACCAAAAGGGCTACATAGCTAAAGTTTTGAAGAAGTTCAATATGGATCAATCTAAAGGAGTGATGACTCCTATGGCGCAACATTTCAAACTTTCTCAGCAGGATTCACCCAAGACAGAGGAAGAAAAAGCCTATATGAAGAAGGTTCTGTATGCAAATGCAATAGGCAATGTCATGTATGCTATGATTTGTACTAGGCCAGATTTGGCTTATGCCATGAGTTTGGTGAGTAGATACATGGGGAAGCTAGGAATACAACATTGGGAGGCTATGAAACGGATCTTCAGATATTTGAAAGGAACATCTAAAGTTGGTTTACTTTATTCAAGGCATGACGACAATGCTGCTAATGTTACTGGTTTTGTTGATTCAAATTATGCTGGCTGTTTGGATTCCAGAAGGTCTTTGACAGGTTATGTTTTCACGTTCTGTGGTAACACTGTTAGCTGGAAGTGCAATCTGCAAAATGTAGTCTCTCTATCCACCACTGAAGATGAATTTATTGCTGTTACTAAAGCAATAAAAGAAGCAATCTGGATGAAGGGAATGGCAGCATGTTTGAAGGTAGAAAGAGCAGTTCCTAAGGTGTTTTGTGATAGCCAAAGTGGGATACACTTGGCTAAGAATCAGGTCTACCATGAGAGAACTAAACATATTGATGTCAAGCTCCATTTTGTGAGAGGTTGTTGCAAAAGGGGAGGTGATTCTGAAGAAGATTAGCTTAGCACAAATAAAAACCCAGCGGATGCATTTACGGCCTAAGTTCAAACATTGTTTGAAGATTTTACAGGTTGTGTAGCATAAAGTCCAGCCAAGGTGGAGAAATTGTTAGTAGTGGCTTTGGGACTTTATGGCTGTTAGGGAGTTAGTAGAGGATAATTATTACATAACAGAATACTGTTTGTAATGCCTATATAAGGCTTGTAATAAATCAATGAAAAATAACTTACTCCCATAATTGTCTTCTCTGTGTTAATCATTCTTTGGAGAGTTCAATAGAGTTTTGTAGAATCTTTTTTTATAACAGAAAGGTATTAAGCAAAGTGTAAGAATAGTTACTCGTATAAACAAATTAGTAGCCATTAGTTAGCATAACAGAATGGTAGAAATAGTGAAAGAAGGAGAAGGGAAGAGGGGAGACTGTTATCAAGAAAGATAGTGAGCTGAAATGTGACATACTACTCAAAGAGACTATAACCAAGTTGTGGCTTATATTCTTAGTTTCAGTGACTGATCTGATCATCACACTGATACTGGTTGGTGGGCTGAAAAACATAATCAATAAAGATTCATATTTTTTTTGCACTTTCTTTTCTCTGTATTAGTTTTATAATTTGTTAATCCATTAGAACTGCTCTTACAAGACTGAGAACTCTTTTCCCTTCCACTGAATGTTCCTTGATCTTCTCGGTGAGAGCTCGTACTCCTTTATTCTTCAGTCTTATTAGGCGATAACTTCTTAGGCAAGGAAGTTAGTAGGGGGAGAGATGAGACAAACAGAGAAAGGAAAGGAAAAATAATGCTTTGGCAGTGTTTATTGAATTACAAAGAATATGGGGAAAAGATACTCCTTCCTGGGATTTCTCCTTAACTAAAGGTTTCCCCTTTCTACAACAGAGTTCATGCTCAGTTTCTCAAATGATAACAATCCGAGAACTCCCCATCTTATACTCTTTCCTATTTAAAGTAATTCCCTACATCAAACACTTAAACTTAAACTGCCTAGCATACCTAATCTAACTAGCTACAAATTATTTTTCTAACAAACTACTCTCTAGACCTGACCCTTTCAGAAATAGTAACCTGAATTTTGTACACACGTTTAGTTGGTCTTGAGAATAACAATAATAACCAGCCACTACAAAAGTTCCAAATTAGGAACTTCAACTTCACAGAGGTCTAAACATGGACATGTTGCAAGCTACCTGAAACTATTTGTATCCTCCAGCACAAGGCTACAAGGTTGTCTTGTTGGTTATTCACCTGCCTAAGGTGAGATGTTACATGGATAAATAGCCAGTGAAAGGTGAGGCATGATAATGGATTGTTTTCTGTTAGTTTCTTCCATCATATGTTGCAATAAGCTCACTGTTCTGTTTGAAAGAGATGCAGGAGTGCTCGTCTAATTGGAAAACAGAAATCAATATTTGGCATAAATGTGGCTACTGATGTGCACCAGTATCAACACACAGGAACTTAAGATTTCCCTGATATCGGGATACTGGACTTAGATGCATATTTCTGTTATGTTGGTATGAATTTTCTTGACTGACATTTAAAATTATTTCGTGGGATCCGGTTTTTGCACTTACAGTGGCTTTATCTGATTTATTGGTCAATTAGAAAGCCTGCATGCTGATGAGATATTCAAGGCCTAATAGCAAAGCATGTATATTCTCGAGTGGAATTTAGGATGTGAATGTGGACCGCATAAAAAGGAGGGTACCAGAATACTTTTAATAGAGAGCAGAAACACCCAATGAACAACCAAGCACATATACTCCTAAATTCTTCTTCTTCAATAATCATTTTCTCTTCTTTGGCTCTTCATTTTCCCTTCCGTACCAGCTCTCCTATTTTCAATTGTATCCTCCCTTCATCTCCACAAATATAGCTTTGTCACGTGACTTCAGAGTGTAGTGGCCTTGCACGGGAATCTGGGTATAGTGGTAGAATTTGTTTCAATTGTTTTTTAAGGTGGGTTTCTATTGTTGTTTCTGAAATCACAATGTTTTGTGGCTGAAGGGAACTAAGTGAATGGTATAATGTCAAAAATTTTAATTTCTAAAGTTAAAATTTTTAATTATTTGGATTCATTCTATATTCATTTTTTTTTTCTGTTGTTAGATTCAAATCAATGGTCTTTCTTGGTAGGATTGTAACTTTGCTGATTCGTGTCAGGGCTTGGAGATAATAATGGATAAAAAAGAGTCGCAGGTTGAAGATAAGGGAGGAAAAGAGAAGAGAAACAGCAGAAGGTACGGAAGAAAGATAGTTGCTGAAAAAAAGTGATTTTTAACTTTTATTTTGTTCCTTGCCACATGGCAGGATTAGATATCTACATGACACTTAATTAACGTGTAGATAATCATTCATTAAGGGTGTTACATAATATACACGAGTAACAATTTTGAGGATGAAATTAATCTATTATTTACTAGTGAAAATAGAGGTTGATGTTCTAGTATTTCCACATTTTGAGATATATTTAGATTGAGATTAAATGTATATTGACATGATTAGAGAATCCATAAATAAAAGAGTTAGCTTGTAATTTGTAGAAAATGAGACAAAAACAAAATGGGTGTTAACTTTGTGAATGTGATAATTTTCCAGGGTGGTTATTTATATTTATTGAAGGGTAAAAAATGCCTATGAAATATGTATAACAAATGATGATAGTTTTTACGATATACTATTAGTTGACGAGTAGGTAATAATAATAAATCAGCAATACACATGTAACTTCATCTAGCGTTCCACCTTCACGTTATGAACTAACCTCCTAACCCCCCTACATCAACTAATCTTCTCATCACTGTTGCCTCATTCGTCTATTTAATAATGAGCCACGACCATCCACATACAAAGCCAAAGGGAATAGTTAAAAAGTGATAATGAAGAGTGACGTGAAGTTGTTGGGAGCATGGCCAAGTCCGTACGTCTTGAGGGTTCGCATAGCTCTAAACATGAAATCAGTGGACTACGAATTCCATGAGGAAAGGTTCCCCGACAAAAGCCCGCTTCTTCTTAAATCCAACCCCATTCACAAGAAAATCCCTGTTCTCATTCATAAGGACAAACCCCTCTCTGAGTCTTTGATCATTGTGCAGTATGTGGATGATGTTTGGTCCTCTGCCTCTCCCATTCTCCCATCTGATCCTTATGACCGCGCCATGGCTCGTTTCTGGGCTGACTATATTGATCAAACGGTACACCAACTCTCTTAATCCCATGCATTGTTCCTAGCTTATGTTAGTTTTAGTTTTGAAATCACAAAATCATGCATTTCTAACCGGTAGTCATATAAACAATAATTTGTTATAAGCTGACATCATAATATGAAGTTGTGTGACTACGCGAGCAGTTGTACCCGACCATGAAATCCATTAGAGGAGCTGCGGACCAGGAAGGGAAGAACAGATTGATAGAGGAGGTGAGAGAAGGATTGGCATTGTTGGAGGACGTGTTTAAAAGTAGCAGCAAAGGTAAGGGCTTTTATGGTGGTGACCAAATTGGGTTGTTGGACATTGCACTTGGTTGCTTCTTGGGGTGGCTGAGGGTGGTGGAGACCGTCAATGGGGTGAAGTTGCTTAACCAAACCAACACACCTGAGCTGCTGAAATGGGCTGACAGGTTTTGTGCACATGCTGCTGTCAAAGATGTTATGCCAGAGACAGGAAGACTTGTTGAGTTTTCCAAAACTCTACCTAAATAGGCTAAAATGGATGCTTCAACTCCACAGTAATTGAAGTTTTCAATGAAATAACATTGCATGCAGTGTTCGTCATGCAACTCTGGAAGGTTTGGTTTTTGTAACTTTTTTTTTTTTTCTTTTTAAATTTAAAAAGTTTAGTTGGCACTTGATGATATGAATCGTGTCCCTGGTGTGATTTCTGTGGTTAAAATTTTATCTAGTTTTAAACAATTTGAATATATAGTTCTTAAAATTATTATTTCAATTATTGTTCAGCAAATTGAAACTATAATGGAGACTAAACTTCCGAAAAGATTCTTAATATATATATATATATATCGTAATACATTTTATTTACTGAAATGTGATTAAACAATATAATACATCATTAATAATGTAGTAACTAGGGAAAATCTAGATAATATTATTAAGAAACAAAAACAAAGTGATATTGATTAATTGAGTTAAACGATTTTGTGAGTTTTGGTATAAAAAATAGTTAAGTAATAATGGAAGCAAAAGAAATACAGTAAATTCTAGATGAATTTATGAAAAATAATGATTAATTATCTAATCATTAACCTGTTCCTTTAATTATTATTAATTTTTAAATCTAAATAGAATCACAAAATAAATACGTATTTAAACCATTAATTCAACTAATTTAATTAATTGATTCATTATTTAATTAACCTAAAAATACAATTCAATTTTAAAGATAAACAATCATATAAACTTAAAATTTGATTTGAAATATAAATTGAAAAAATTTAATCAAACAATCTCAATAACGTAATAGATTATATAAACTATAATAGAAGAATTTAATTTTATGATAGAAAACAAGTATTTAATAACAAAATAAACCTTAAGAAACTTAGAAAATCTATAACAAAAAAAGTAAAAGTGTAGAAATAGTAAAAAAATAATAAAATTGCAAAAAAATTGCAAATGAAATATAAAGTGCAAAAAGTAATAAAGAAAAGAAAGTAATAGAGAAAAGAAAATAAATATAATCTAAAACATCTTGAATTGATGATCTTTGGATAAAATTCATACAAGTTCATTAGAAGATTAAAATGTAAAATGTATTTTATGCACATGTGAGAAAACTAGAGAAAAAAATTGAAATCTAGATTAAAAAGTGTAAAAATGATTATAAGTTGAAGATAACTTATATCTTTTAGTTTTTCTAACCTTTTTATAAAATAACAATTGCAATTGAACCACGCAACATTCATACAGAGGCAAAAAAAAAATCAATTGGATCATTTGAAATTTAAATAGTCAATTATGCAAAAATGATACTTATTACTTTTATGCTTCACTAAACCAAATTTCAATTAAGTTAATTTATTTAAATTTGACATTTTTCTCAACTAATTGGTTTCTCGTTGAGTGAATTGGAAAGATAAGGAATGAAGTTTCTATAAATTTTATTTTAAATTAATTATTTTGCGAAGACAAGTCATATCACAATTTAAAATAAATTTAATTCTTTTTCTAAGATGATAGTTGCATAATCAATTTTATAATACATTATAACAATTTATTATTATGAAATAAGTTTTTATAATATTTTAAAACTTGTTTTAAATAAATGTTAATTTCATTTTAGAATAGAAATGTCTCACTTGTTCTTCCTAAAATATTTATTTAATAATGATAAATCTTATTACAATATATTGAATATAGGGTTTCACATATCTTCTAATTATACTAGTTTCAACTAAAATAAAATAAAATAATATTAATCGTGAACATTTGTTAACAATCTTCGTTGAATAAAATAAGATTATTTATATTTAGTTAGGTCTCTCTTATATTCATTCAACCCTCTATCTCATTGTGTCTCACATGCTCATTCTCACTTCTCTCTCATCCTTAACTAATTCTCATCGGGGGAGGTCTCAAGCTAGTTTTGGTGATGTGTGATGGTTCACATGCATGGTGGGTCCGTGGTGGTGTTATGAAGTTGGTTTTGTGGAATTAATTCTTTCTTTCCATGAGATGATTTTAACCATACCCGTTATTATAAGTAGTTTATGACAATAATTAAGTACTAATAAGTATCATCATAAGTAGTTTACAACGATGATTCTTTGTTATTAATCATTACCTATGTTGACATATAACAATGGTTAACACCCTTTCTTGTATCTGTCACATACAACGATGAGTCTAGAACCGACATTTTAAGTCATTTTTAACCGTTGTTAAAGACTTTGACTGCAATAGTGTAAGGAATAGTCCATTTCTAAATCTAAGTAGTTAATTAATAAGAGATGTATTCCCTCTCTATTTCATAAAAAATATATAAAATTAAAACAAAAATGCTAAAAGAGATCAACTTTTTAATATAAAAACACTTGTTTAAAGAAAGTAAAAGTGGTGTGTATCTACTAAACAATATTGGATCAACACATTTAAAATAGAAATAAAATTGTTGCATAAATGTCTATATTTTTATTTTTGTGTTCATCTACTATAACTGCATCAATGCTTGTATATCAATATGTGCCTATAAATATATGTTTTCACCTACTCTTGTAGATTACATATTTATGTATTAATATAATGATTTCTTCTATGAGAGATGTGATATGATTTTAGGAAGAGAGACCTTCAACCGATGAAGATGAACTATGTGAAATAATATCAATATCCAAATTACAATCATGAGATTTTACCTTTCCTATTTTCACAAGCAATCTTTATCCAAATATCATAATTAACTACCAAATTACGCATATTAAAACTTCAAACATAATTGTATAATGTTTTTATATCATCTAAAAAACTAAATAGAACATTATTGATAGTGTGAGGTGTGCAAGAAAAAATAAATATTGTCCAACCACATAGGATATAAAACTTACAAAAGTCAACTAAATGTTTGTTATTTATTTATTTATTTTTTCTTCAAGCTTCATAACTACATTTTTTATTGTTATTTCTTCTTCTTTAAATATATCTTTTACTCTACTTCTAACATTATCATTTAAGGAATTTGATTCTCCATGATGCATAAACATAAAGCAAAACAAACATCAACATATGGAAATGAAATAATATACTATTTAATCTTAAAAGAATTATGACAAATTGTTCATCAACAAACTAATTCTCTTATTACATTGCTAAAATTTTGTAGTAACTCTTTTATTTGAATTAGTCATTTAAATGAAATTTATTTGATAATTGTTCGTTGTAACATAGTCATATTTGCATAGATTTGGACCAGATACTTTGTCTATCCTCAATCTTATGTACACATAATATATTAAATATTTAGTACATAACTTTTAAATAAAATATTATAATCAACATATACATATTTCTTTTTCATCACGGTGCTTCCTTTTACAAGACACATCCTAAAAAAAATACTTATTACAAATTAACAAAAGTAACCTTAAAAGGATAAAATGCAAAACAATATTGACAATAAGTATACAATAGAAAGAAATCTTGATGAAGAAATCAACAGTCATATAAAATGTCTTGTTGCACTTAAATCTATTTGTAACAATGATAATTTTATTTTTAAGGTTGTACTTAAGCCAAAAAAGGTACAAAGAAAACATTAATGGCAAAGAGTATTGAGCTTCCATTGCATATTTTCTTAGGTGTGTAATTTTGTCCCATTATATTTTTCTTAAAGAGTATTAAGTCCACCATAAAATTTCTTCTATGTTATGTTCTATTCATAGATTGACTTAATGAATTGTTCTTCCTCCAAGTAGTTACTAATACTACTATTCATTATGTGTATAGAATGTTTTGAAATTTTATAATTTCAACAATAATTTTATTATCAACCTGCATCATTTTCTTTTACATGGACCAACAAAGAAATTTTATGAAGGATGGAAGGCCTTTTCATTTAGAAGGTTTTGCTAATGGACCTTAATCATGTTTATGAAGAATTAAACAAACATAAATTTATCATAGTATATATTTTTGTTTCATTTTAATACATTTAAACATGTTACAATTTGTGTAGCTTTTTATGGAAGGTCCAATCATTTTCACAAGTTGGCTAGTTATTGGGTTTAAAATGAAATAATATATACATCAACTCCTTAACTATTATTATTAGCATCACACAAGTATCCTAAATATATTACTAGCCTTATTATATGTTATCATAATGTTATATTCTACTTTTCACAATTACTTTGGGCATGCAATATGAAGGAATCATTCTATACCAAGATCGCATGTTAAAGTGAGCCTTATCCACTAATTCTTAGTGAATTATGGTGGCCAAGTTTATAAAATGAAAAAGTACGGTCGTCCTTTATCTATTTATTGATGTAAATTTTGAAAACTATGATACATCCATCCTAGTAGCTTTACACTTAAGTACTCTCAATATGGTCATCAACATTAAGATTTTGGACTAACAAGTAATTTATCTTATGAGATAAGATCAAAGTTTGTTCAACATTCATTACACATGATTATTGGAACAAAAGTAATTTTAACATTATAGTACCAATTTTATAAGCCATAACAATAATCATAACATTTATAAGACAAAATTATTAGACCAATTTCTCAGAAAAATTAATTACATGATTTTTTTTTCACCACATACACAAAATAGATTTTCAATCACTAACACACTACTTCATATGGACATCAACATTAAGAGTTTGATCAATTCAAGTGATATATCTTTTCTTAAGACATAAGGCAAAGTTTGTTCAACATTGACTACATACATAAAATTAATCATAACATATTTACAAAAAAAAAAAACTATTAGATCAATTTTCATTTAGTAAAATTAATTCATATAATTTTTTTTTCACCATGTGATAGTACCATATAAAGAATAGGTTTTCAATCGTTAATAGTTTAAGTAATCTATCTTTTTTAAAACATAAGACATAGGTCACAAAAAAGAGTGCCACATATAGAACCTAACCAAAGACCACAAAAAAGAGAGAGAAACAAAGTGAGAAGTCTCTCATTCAAGAAAATAAATCAAAGTGAGAAGTCTCTCATGCAAA